CATGAGGGAGGCCTCCCATTCTACTTTGGTACCACTCTAATAGTTAGGACATCAGCTTCTACATGTTATTTCAGGTTCTACATTTTGGGCACAAAGAAAACAGTAATATCTTTTCCACAAGGCACTCTACCAAAAACTTGAAGATGTCTCTTATTTCCCCACCAAGTTTTATTTTCTCACCACCCCCACTTCCTTCAACCAATGTTTGTATGGTATGACATATTTTCTTGGTTTCCCTTTGATGAGCATGCTTTAGTTTTTGTATAGTGCACATTATGTTCAGTATACAATATAGCGTGGATTATCAGCACCTTTATTTTGGAAGCAATATCTCAATGCAGCCTAAAATCACATTGGCTTTTTTGGCTGTCATGGTACATTGTTGACTTATGGTGGGTTTTGAAGTTTATTGAAACCCTCTGATTTTTTTTAAACTTAATTATTAACTTGAATTATTTTAACTTGAATTTGTCTAACCATGCTTTTTCCCGTTTTTTTTAATCCATGTGCTTTAAATTTGTCATTATTAAGTTTCATCAGCTAGATTCATCCCACTGTCCTAGCCTATTGAGATTAAAAAAAAATAGGATCCTTGATTTATAGTTAGAACAGATATTAAAAGTGACCTAATCAAACCCCTACATTTTACAGTTGAGGAAATCAATCTTCATGAAGATTAAATGTTCAATGTTATAAAGGAATAAAGGGATAGAGCCAGGATATAAGCATAGGCTCTTTTATCCTAACTTTCTCAACCCCTCTGATCTTTGTATCATCTTCAGATTTGATAAACATGCCATCTATTCCTGCATCCGTGTAATAGATAAAACTGAGTAGGACCAAACAGAGATCTTTATGGTACTCTGCTTTAAGCTTCTCACTGTCATAGGTACTTTAATCATTCATAGAGTTCTTGTCATTAAGTTGGTTTTAAATATACACCCTATACACTAGAAATTTCTCTTCATTTTGATCATAAGGATAGCATGAAAGACTTTGTCACATCCTTTGCTAATATCCAATTGTATTACATCTATACTTTTCTGGTCTACCTGTCTAGTAATGGTATCTTAAAAGGACATGAAATTCTTCTGACACTATTAAACCAATGTTGACTCTTAGTGATTCCTATCTCCCATTCTCAATGCTAACAAAACATCCTTTTAACATAGAAATTCTTAACTTTTTTTTTTATCATGGACCCTGTTGATAGTCTGTTGAAGTCTATTACGCCTCAGAATAATGTTTTTAAATGCATAAAATAAAATACAGAGGATTCCAAAGGAAAGCAATTTTATTGCTATAAAGTTATCAAAATATATGTAAAAAAAAAGTTCACGAAACACAGCTTAAGAATACCTGTTTTAATGGTATGTTCTAGAATTTTCACAGAATTTAAAGTCAAAATCAATTATTTGCAGTTGGTAATATTGGCAATATTGTAGTCCCTCTCACATTTTTCATGATTTTTCAAATTTCACCAATAGCAGCTCAACTATTACATCCAGAAGGTATATCCATACCCTGGGGTGTGTCATAGTTCGTCCAGATGCCTTATGAAAGTCAGAGATGTTCACTTCCTCATTGAAATCCTTATTAACTTTTTTTTTGGCCTTCAATTTTATGTCTAAAATTAGTTCTTGATAAAGAATACAGAAACAAAATAAGAATTGGGTAGTTCAGCCATCTCTTAGTAATTATTTATGCTTATCTCCTTGCCCGTGACCGAGTGGCCCCTCTAATTTTTCTTTGACTGTTTCCCCTCTCCCACATAGCTATAAAAACCCTTTTGGTTGTCTTTAGCAGTTATTAAACCGGTAAACATTTATAAATTGCCTATTTTTTGATAGACATATTGCTAAGCATGGGAGGTAAAAAGAAAGGTAAAACAAAAAAAAATACCCCGTACCTTTGAGGAGCTCACAAACCAATGAGGGAAGACAACATGTAAACAACTATGTAGAAATCTATATACAGGAGAAATTGGAAATAATCTGGGGAGAGGCACTAAAATTAAGGGGGATTGTGAAAAGCTTTTTGTATAAGGTGGAAGTTTAGTTGGGTCTTGAAGGAATCCACGAAGGCCAGGAGGAAAGGATGAGAAAGGAGAGCATTCTAGGCATAGGATACAGTGCACAAAAATTCCTGGAGTCCGGAAATGAAGTTTCTCCTTCTAGGAATAGTAGGGAGGCCAATATCACTGGATCAAAGGGGATGGGGGTAAGGTATAAGAAAGCTCTAAAGGTGTGTGGGAGAGGAGGCAGGTTATGAATGATTTTGAACACCAACCAAATAATTTTATATTTGATTCAAAAGGTAATAGGGAGCCAATGGAGTTGACTGATGAGGGAGGTGTCATGGTTAAAACCTGTGAAAGATCACTTTGGCAGTTGAGTAAAGGTTGGACTGGAGGAGGGAGAGATTTGTGGCAGGCAGACCAACCAGAAAGCCAGTAAGTATTGTAGATGTGAGGTGACAAGAGTTTGTACATGGATGGTAGCAGTGTCAAAGGAAAGAAGGAAGCATATACAAGCAATGTTATAAAAATAAAATTGGCCAGCCTTAGTAACAGACAGGATATGGGGAGAGTGAGAGAGAGTGAGAAATCAAGCATGGTAGGTTGTAAGGCTGGGTGATTTAGGGGATGATAATGCCCTGGACAGTAAGAGGGAAGTCTAGAAAGGGAGAAAGTTTTGGGGAAAGATAATGAATTCTGTTTTGAACATTAGTTCAAGATGTCTGTAGGACATTTAGTTTGAAATGTCTAATAGTTGACAATGTGAAACCAGAGGTTAGCAGAGATGTTAGGGCTAGACAAGTAAATTTGAGAATGCTGATGGGCATAGAGATGATAACTGAATACGTGTAAGCTGGTGATATCACCATGTGACATAATGTAGAGGGAGAAGAGAAGAGGGATTGGGACAGGGTCCTGTGAGATACCTAATGAGATGCTAATAAATATGAACTGGTTGAAGATTCAGCAATGGAAACTTCGGAGTGGTCTGATAGGCTGGAGGAAAACTAGCTGAGTGGGTCAGGAAGGAGGAGCCATGGGAGATTTACAGAAGGATGAAAGGTTTGGTTGACTCACTGTGATGAGTGCAATAATGACTTAATTAGGGAGGTGTAGAAGAATTGCCCTGCAGCAATGAGGGCCCATTTGAGTTTATGTGACATAGTCTGGCAGTTGCATGATTTTTTTCCACTATCATTCAGCAGCATGTGTAGGAACAAAGACATTATATGGTTTGAATGATCCAAGGCTGAGGCCCAGCCAGCAAGATGGGCAATATGACAAGGGGGTAAGAAACTCAAGAGAAGAGGGCAGTATAGAGTTGAACTGGTTTCCTGAGTGATCCAGATGATGAAGGGAGGAGAGAGAGAATCGAGAGGCTGAAGGATTGGAGATCTTGATATGAATAAAGAACTGGATTTGGAGTTGTAAGGCAGAGGGAGAGGTGGCATGACTAAAAGATTGTGATAAGATAAAGGGATTTCAGTGTTCACAAACATGGAAGTGGAATATTTGTTGGTGATGGCAAGATTGGAGGTATGACTGTCATTGTCATTTTGTGTTTGGCAGTTGAGTAGAGGTTGGAGTGGAGGAGGGAGAGATTTGTGGCAGGCAGACAGATTTTTCAATGTCCTTGGTAGGATTTTGGCTTCAAGAAGCACTTTATGATTCGTGACACTACTCTTATGGTGTTATTCCTTAGAATGCTAAAGTATTGAATTCATCCTGTTATCTGCCCTTCAATCTGCCTGTCTTCTCTTTAACCATATTTATTCAGGTATTCATAATTCACATTGGTCTCTTTAGACACTCCACATTTTCTTCTTCCTTGGAATCTTTTGTTTTTTAGTAATTCAAGACAAGTTTCCACCCCTCTTAAGTCTAATTTCCTCTGTATAACTTTAGACTTTATTAATCTAACCATATTTTCTCTGAATTCTTGGACACTCACTTTCCTCCAAAATATATGTTCTTACCGTGCAACTCTTTTTCGCCACTCTTCTTAAAATATGTCTTTTGAATAATGTATACTCTTGTGTTACCATGTTTTAGTTCTAAATTATATCATGCCAAATCTGAGTCCATTTAATTCCTTGAATTAAGTTTTTTGATCATTTAGTTTAATACTTATACTTTGTGCATTTATGTATAGACATAAGTGAAACTTTTAATACAATCCTTCTTTCTACATATTGTCTCTTACAGAATTATTGGACTTATCCACTAATATCCTTTTTCCTGTGTCTTGTTTGCTGCTCTGTATTTTCCACTATCATCTCTTTACTGCCCAAATCTGCCTTTATTTTCTGAACCTTTTTCCTTCATTTGTTAACAGTGCTTAAAACATCCATCTGTTCCTCTGAAGGAACTTTAATTTCTTGCCCAGGAGTTTGAAATATTTGTAATAAGAGTCACTGGAAGGGCATACTTGTATTGATATTTGACAAGTCTTTGTTGGCTCCCCATTATGTCCAGAAACAGGCCATGGGAAGATAGCATTGTTTCTCATGGCTCATGCCTTTATAACATGTAGCCACTCTTCTGTTGTCCAGCCTCCAAAGCTCTTATCTTCTTCCTCTGAATAATATTGGAGGCACTGTAGCTGCTGGAATTTGTCTCATTTTTGGTTCTGGCACTCCATAGTGGGATGTCATTCTAGCAGAGTTGTAAGCTCACACTAACTACTTTTGTGAGGGAAATGTTTTCTTAGTCTTTGGTATATTTTATTGTTTTAAAGTGTTTTATTTATATGTTAAGTTCCTTTTTGCATTCTTCTTCCACTGCTTCATTTGAGTATTTGAGTAATGGAAGAAAAAGCCAAAAAGTAACCTTGTTGGAATAAAACGTTTAGGCTAATTACATCATAAAATTATAGGGAACAACAGTAAAGGAGACAATGGTAACATTTCTAGACGTCACATTGGAAAATGTTTCCCAAGTGTTAAAATAGCTAATTGTAATACCATGTTTTCTCAATTGACAGGCCGAAGCTCAATTCCAGAATTCTTTCGAATTATGAATAGACAGTTTACAGAGAGAGAATGGAAGACAATCAAAGCCTTTGAAGATGGATGGAACCAGTTAGATACATTTTATAGGCACTGGGTATGCTTTTATTCTGATTTTGATAATCAAAATTTATATAGTAGAGACCCCATATTCCAAATAAAATTGGAAACAAAAGTATTTCAGATCATCAGAAGTTCAACTATTATTTGATTTAAATGGGTTATCAGTTGTGGTTTTGAAATTATTATTTTATACAGTATTTTATGGTACTGGAATTTGGTACCACAACATTTGACCGGTATTTTGTTGAAGAATAGAGATTTTGCATTATGAAAGATATAAAACATGGTGTACTGCATGTCACCATTTCTAAATTACTTTCTTTTACTTGAGTCATGAATGAAACCCAGGATGTGTTTAGCTCTGTGCTGTTTCTATGGGAGCAGGAAAACACTTTGTAGCAATAGTATGTTTAGGGGAAAGCAATATAGAATCCTAGAACCAAACATGTACACATGGCCTACAGATTGTATATTGTTTGAAACACCATTTTATCTGCCAAATGCCTTAACTGTAACATCAAATATTTTGACATTTTAGGCATTAAAAGAAAGCTTCTTAAAAGCCATTGGGGTTGGAATAGGATTTAAACTACAGCGAATCGAGTTTAATATATCCCCACTGTATCTGGAAGTAGGCAAAGTATATAGAGAAACAAATATGCTACTTGATGGAGAAGAGGAAGAAGAATGGGCATTTGAGGTAAAGAAATCAGTTTTTTTTCCTTAAGAATTTTCACATTCTTAGTATGTTCTAACTAATTTGAGTTGCCGTATGTATACATGCATGTTGAATATTATATTTCATTTTCTAAAAATAAGTACGTTGCAACTTCTAGTAGTTTGAAATAAGTATTTCCACTACTGTACCTATCAGTCTGTTCTTAACCACTGTCAGTCTGGCTTTTCCCTGCTTCCTCATTCTACTTAAATTGCTCTTTTTACAGGTCACCAACAACGTCCTAATCATACTCTCTTGACCTCAAACCTTCAGTGATTCCCAAGACAAATTGTACTATTTTCTTTTCTCTGAACACATGTTGTACTTGTGCCTAGGACATGGAAGGTGCTTAATAAATGCTTTTTTGACTGTCTGGCTGACGTTTATGCCTGAGATAGTTTATAATATTCCATCTGCCTAGAATGCCCTTATCTGCGCCACCCCCAACCCCACAATCTCTGCTCATCAGAATTCTAATCGTCCTTCAAGATCCAAATCAAATGCCACCTTTTACATGAAGGTGTTCCTTATGACCACAATGGTTTATTATTCATCTCCCCCTTAACCATGGTAGCATTTTTGAACATTTTGTATGGCAGATGATTATCTTATAAGGTAATTTTTTTTTTTTGGCAATTGGGGTTAAGTGATTTGCCCAGAGTCACGCAACTCATAAGTGTCAAGTGTTTGGTCTGAGGCCAAATTTGAACTCAGGTCCTCCTGACTTCAAGGCCGGTGCTCTATCCACTGTGCCACCTAGCTGCCCATTAAAGGCAATTTTCAATCTCTGTTCTGGTTTTATCTTTCTCCTTACTAAATTGTAATTATCAATGAGTGTAGAAACCAGAACTTTTGTCAGCTTTGTATACTGGTCCTCCAAAGTTTGGTTCCTTTCATATATCAGGTGTTAATGAAATGTTTGTTTGATTAAATAATTGTTCATATAGTAATGTTATGATCAAAATCAAGGTAAACTGAGGCCCAAAGTTCCAGGCATGATCAATTTATTGACAAAGTGCAAATTTGCTAATAAACAGGGTCTCAGACCCCTCCGAAAAGCTAAGACCCCAAATGAGAGGGACAGCTCTCTTTTATGGACAAAAGGAGGAGCATCCAGAATAAAAGACGGCATCATAGATGGGGTAAACGATGTGATTGGGTTACAGAGTCTGTAGCATCAGAGGTGTGAGGAATAATATGATTAGCTAGAAATTAGGAATGGGGGGCCAGCCACGACCCCTCTTTCCCTTCTGTTGTCACAAGTGTTCATTGTTTGAGTCTACCTGCAAGGACAGTTTAGTCTAAGTGGACCAGACTGCCTTGGATGATAGACCAGAGTCCTTCGCGTGCTCCTGCATTCTTCCAGGATAACAGATTTCCTTGAGGCGAGAATAGAACAGAACTGAACTCAGAGACAGTGAGTGATTTATAGGAAAGCTGACTTTCCAGACTTAACTCTGAGAAAAATAAAACATGACTTAGGCAGTTACAAAAATGTCGACAGTGATACAGAATAAAATCAATAACAAAACAGAATCAATTAGATTTTCCTAGTTTTCAGGAGCTAGAGACTCTTGTCAAAGATGCATTTAAAAATGGGTAATATCATACAAAAAACTAGTGTAGTAAAGGCCTTTTATAATGAACAATTTGATGTCAAACTAATTACATTTTTAGCCAATATAAATAATAATTATCAGGAGAAAATGTGTTCATTTGAGGTTTACTTATTTTTCAGAGGAATATGTATTCAGGTTCTGATTGTTAGTAATTCCATTTAGAACATTTTAAATTTGTCTCACATCATAGAAGAATTAGAATTTTGTTTTCAGAAAAAACCTAACAAAATAGTTTTGCATATGTTCAACATGCATTAAAATCTCATCTCTATATCTAAAAACATAGTAAAACTTGAAGAAATAAGATATATATATATATATATATATATATATATATATATATATATACATACAATGACACCAATTTTTGAATGTTTTTATGCCACAGTTTCATGAAAAGAAATGTTTGCTTTCCATGGTCCGTCTTATAATGTTTTTTTCATGGCCTGAGGTTAGGGAAGTCATTTGAAGGAAGAATCTTTTTAAAGCTCACACCTGTCCTCTTGTGATTCTCCGCATACTTATTTTGATTTTGTTAGGGATCTGAGATCTATGTAGTATAGTCTCTTCCTAGGTGGCGCAGTGGATAGAGCGCCGGCCTTAAAGTCAGGAGGACCTGAGTTCAAATTTGGCCTCAGACCAAACACTTGACACTTATGAGTTGCGTGACTCTGGGCAAATCACTTAACCCCAATTGCCAAAAAAAAAAATTACCTTATAAGATAATCATCTGCCATACAAAATGTTCAAAAATGCTACCATGGTCAAGGGGAGATGAATAATAAACCATTGTGGTCATAAGGAACACCTTCATGGAAAAAGGTGGCATTTGATTTGGATCTTGAAGGACGATTAGAATTCTGATGAGCAGAGATTGTGGGGTTGGGGGTGGCGCAGATAAGGGCATTCTAGGCAGATGGAAAATTATAAACTATCTCAGGCATAAACGTCAGCCAGACAGTCAAAAAAGCATTTATTAAGCACCTTCCATGTCCTAGTTGCAGATTGCAGCTCATATTAGAAGTTCTCATCTGATGTGTTTCCTATCCCTGTCCTTTTATAAATCCTCCAGAGAGTATGTATACACTATACTGAAGGGTTTGCTCTAAGTGTATGTATATATAAGAAATCAGCCATTACCCCTTTCTCTCATCATATGTCCTTTACTTCTTCTTGATAGCCACTCACTTTGATGATTGTATAACACTTCCTGCATTCAATTAATTCTTAGATATTTTCTTCAACCTATATAATTGTACCACCTGTATTTTCATTGCTGTTTGGATAATTTACAACTTTAATTCTTCTAATATCCTGGAGTTTCATAATTTGTAACCATATTACATTACTGGGAGAATATTAATGATAAAATAGGAGTTTGGGGGTCTATAACTTTTCAAATGTGACTTACTCTACTCAATTCTTCCTATTAAATTCTGAGTGCAAGACAGTGTCTATCTGCAGAGCCTGTTGAAGATGAGCGTACTAAATCAGTTGCCCTTTTAACTGCGTATTATAATCTGCACGATATGCATTTTGCAATTGCTTTCCTTTTCCTGTATGGATTACTAGGCTGATTTATTGAGTATCTGTTCATCTGATATAGGAAAATGAGATATAGTTTTCCAGAGGTTGGTCAGTACAGTTAACACAGCATCCTCTGTAAACAACAGTATGTATCACCATCTTTAGGCTAGCCTTCCACTGGACATTGCATAGGATATCATCCATAACAGTGTTGAGCACCTTTAGCAAATATATATTTCTTTGTTTTATGGCTTGTTAATTATAGAGAATTATTCAACAAAATTTTCTCCTTATGTTAGCATCTCAGTATATACATCCTCAGAGGAGAATGGGTTAGGCTTTGTTTTGTTTTACCTAGTCAAGTAAAATTTAATTCAACACATTTATTAATCACCTATTATGTACAAAGCATTATGTCATGGAAGAAAGAAAAGAAAGGAAGAGGATAAAAGAATTTCAAGCAGTTTCTATTCAAGATAATCACCAGACAACAGCTAAATTTGGCTACTGTTTATATTAAGCTATTTGTAGAAATTTGCTAATTGAAGGTCAAATCCGCTTGAAAAAGTAATTCTAAATAACTAGAGAAAAAGAAAGGAAGCACACTGTGTAAAAGAGATTTGCTTAGAAGTTCCCTGTGATAGAGTCTCTGGTATAATGAAAAGGCTTAGCAATTTGCTGACTGTGTGGTAAGTTATCCATGAGAATAATCAGTAAGAGTTACAGAATTGACAATCCATTTCAGCCAAGAGGTCAAGATGAATAATCCAGTGTCTTGCAGGTTTTTTGCTCTTTTTGTGTTTTTGCCGATGGCAAGAAACAGCTACTATATCCACAAAATGCATATTGGTCCCCATACTGTGAGGTGATATTTGTAAAGTATATTGCAAACCTGAAAGTGCTATGTGTATGAATGCATTATAACTGTTGATAGTATTATACTAAATGAGATGGTGGAAAATGGGGGGGGCATCTTTATCCTGTAGATCAGCAAAAATGGAATATTCTTGAAGTCATGGAAGAAATGCTTTGAAAACAAAGGAAAAAGAACCCAGAAAGGTATAAGTGACTTAAAATTTGTGGTGTCATGTTGAATTGTAGGAATTTAACTTGTGAAGATGCCTCATTTTTCCAGGGCTAACTGGTACAAGAGGAACAGGGGAGAAAGAGATATAGGGGATCAGGGTAGGTATTAACAGTCGGTAAACATTTATTTATACCTAGTGTGTGCCAGACTCTGTTCTAGGCAATAGGAATTAAAATAGAAAAAATAAAATGATTATTCAAAAGGAATTTACATTGAGTTTGGTCGTTAAATTGGGCATGGTACTTACTCCATCAGTGCATTGTAGATTGAATGTTGAATTACTCTGTATCAGATGATTGTGTATTACAGTGCAGGTTCCCTGTATCTAGAGTTACTACTAGGGGGATGAAGGGAGAAAGGGCAGGTGTGGGAAGATGGGATGACAAGAGCTTGTAGTAGAAACTTATACATCCGTGTGTGTGTGTGTGTGTGTGTGTGTACACATACATACACACAATTTTGTATTTGTACTTTAAACAGAAAAGTGTTTTAGCTCTGGAATTTTCTCACAGGACATTTTTTATAATGTTTATAGCATATGGAACGCTGTTACAGGCCATTGCTAGGATCTGAAATAGCTTTATTTGTGAAAACATTAATTCTTAGTCTTCTTTCTTCTGCATATCTTAAATATGCATCTTATGTTTCTTGATTTTCCAGAATTTTTCCATAATTTACCTATTGAATTCACTGCTGTAGAAACATTACTTTATAAGGAAAAATACCATATAAACCTTAAAGCACAGTATAAATATGAGTTATGAAAAGATGAATATTTTACCTTAAGGAACTTTATGCATTTGTCATAAGCTGTTGCTTGCAATTTCATTTCTAATGAAAACACCTTAAGATTTACCTTTGGATGGGGAGATCTTAAAAAGGATGCTTAAAGTGAATGGCAGCTACATCATCTCTGGGGAAAGGGAGGAAGTATAAAAATGGAGTGTTTACTCTCTTGAAGTTGTTTTTAAAGTTATATACCCATATATACTGCAGTTTGTTTTGTTCAATAAAGATTGTTAGTCCTAACAATTAGTCACTGTTTCATCTTTTTAGTAATACTGAATAATACTAGATAGCTATATTATTGTATCTGAAATATATTTTAAAAGATTATTTGGTTTCAAAACTCAATCATCATCTGTCTTCAGTAAAATAATCTTGCTGCCTGCAAGACTAGTTGAGGTGTTTGAATAAAATAAATGAGTTCAAACTGGCAAAGTAAATGGGATTATTTTGGTTCAATTTCAGTTTCCATTTTGATATCCACTACTTTTTGTGGACATAAAAATCACATGATTGGAGGAAGAGACCTTTGAAAATAAAGGCCTTAATGTTTTTCAGATGGCTTTATGCTAACCTTTTATACAATAACAGTGGGAGTCTACATTAGCAGTTAACATTGGAAAATTGCAACTTCTAACAATGCAGTACATGACCTCCTTAGGTTAATAACAGTCATTGAATAATATCCTCTCTGCTTTTGTTCTTTAAAATTTCATCCATGCCTCTGAGAAGGGCTGAGTAGACAAGATAAAACTGACTTTGGACATCAGAATATAATTGTATCTTAACCCTCAGTGGAGATAAGAAAAATAGATAAACTTGAGCAAGGCATTTTCAGTTACACATATAGTGAGGAGAAGCTGGATGATTATTTTAAACAATTGCCTTGTATAAAATAAGTAATAGACATGAAAGAATTATTGGTTTGAGTAATTCTACACATGCATTTCTAGCTAAAACACATGTCTCTATCATTATAGATTTTTAAAAAAAACTTTTAAAGATAAAAAAATTTGCTTAGCTTGCTACAAGTTTTCTAAAACCAAAAACTTTTTTCAGAAATATCTCATGCTCATTCTCAGTTCAAAAGGTACTCTATCAGTTAATAGACAATTATTACACATTAGCTCAAAAATTCTTTTCATATAAAAAACTCTTGGACAGTTTCCTCAATAATAAGTCATAATCATATGACGCATTTTAAAGCATTTGCCTTTTTTTGTTTGTGTAGGCCTACTAAAATATTCTTTATGTGTTCCAGACATATAAAAAAGAAGTAACTCAACTTTGTGCATATTTCTCAGTTTGAACAATTATTGCTTTCCATTTATATAAATTATTTTTGTTTCTAGTATATTCTGGTATCATCCTGACCTTTTAAATAGTAAAACTAAACAGTTAATTTGTGGTCTTTTATGACCTTTTACATTTTTTGTTATATGTATATAATATTTTCTATTTTGTTTTTTAAAAAAATACTGCCATGTAATTTTCCTTATTAAACCTATTTCCCTTTGTTTCTTATTTCATGGTATTTTTATGTAATAAAAGTGAAAGAAATATTGAATGAAAAGAAGAAAGAAAATGAAGTATAGGAAGTCTTTGTTCTTTTTAAAATAATATTTTCATATTTGAAATGAAAGTCTTAATAGAAGAGTGCGTTAACAAGAGGTTTTCTAAATTGAAAGTTCTGTTTCATTTTTAACAGTCTCTTTTAGTTATTCATAGTCTTTTTCCTTACAGTCTCAACAGCTGCTGCTTTTAATTTAAGCCTTTTGTTTTTCAGTATGATGTGTAGGAATTAAAAAATTATGAGCATGTCATGATTTTGAATTTTCATTTTGTCTACATGTTGTAGTATGCTTAACCAAACATAGTCAAATGAGTTACTGTGATTAATAATAATAGTGTATACTATTAAAACAACCATGGACAATTTTAAACCTGAAATAAGTTGTATTTATTTACCTTTTCTAGGAAAGCAGATTGGATGAGTACCATCATATTGCAGTTGCTCTTAAGAAACCAGACGGATTCAGTCCACAGAATCCTCAAGTAAGACATTAAATCCTTTTTATACAACTTTAAACATCAGTTAGTATTGATTTTTGTTCCCTTCTGATGGCAACAAATATGTATATGGCAAACACATATTTATAAACAAATGGTTTATCAGGTTGAGTCTAACTTTTTTACAATTATAAAATTATGGTACTTTTTCATTAAGTTTCATTCTTAATGCTTCTGACCAACTTTAATCAAGTATTTTAAATAGAATATTTACCAAGCAATTCATGTTTGAATACACATAGTTTATTGCTTTAAAAAATTGCTAATTAATCTATTAGAGCATCATATCCTGTGACCACCATTACAGTACCTATAGCAGTGAATTCTTATCTGGTGAACTGGCTGTTTTGATTATAGTAGTCATTTAATTGAAACTGAGTGGATAGTAGGCAATCTAATATTCAATAGAAATAATGAAATATTCATTTGGAGGATAGGAAGGTAAGTCCTAAAATTATTACAAATAATACTAAAGGCAGTGGAGACTTAGTTCCATAATTGCATTATATGGCTAGTCCTGAGTTCCCTAGCTACTCTGTTCCCTTCCTTTAGTTTTTTTAGTACTCTTCAATCCAATTTAGTTAAACAAACATGTCCTTAGCACTTTTGGCACTCATGTGCTATATGTACAATGATGAAAAATGATACAATCTGTACCTTCAAGGAGCTTATAATCTTATTAACAAGGGTGTGGGGGCAGGGAGCAGGATAAGGTGGACAAAGTCCAATAACAAAGTAGCATCATCATCACATGAAAAATTTTCTACCAGAGATGCCCTAATCTGAGCATCCTGTTTCTCTCAGTTTTTAAACTTTGACTTTGTATTCACTGTACAATAAAGTAAGCCTATCTGGAGTCCCATTAGTTAGGTCTGTGTCTCAGAAATTTCTAAGATATGTGTTCTGATTTCAGGGAATTGTATAAATAATTTTCTAAAGAAGCATTTCCTCTATGTGATTAAATGAATTTTGTTGCCTTATCTTCATGTTTTATATTTGTTATTACTCTTGATATGCAATAATTCTTGAAGTTCTCTTATATTCTCAATAGATGAAGTTGAATTTAGAATCCCCCAGCCTCTGATTTTGTCTTATTCTTTCTAAATTATAAAATAAATCTTAAAATAGCATAGATTTAAGTAATGTCACATAAAGATCTTCCTATTTTTAGGTTCTTTCTCAAGACCATCCTGAGCCAACTATGTCACAGTTCACTTTTTTGACATTTGAAGATTTGGTAGCATCTGCTATCCCTTTGACCCCAGAAGATCCTTTTTACTGGGACAACTTTTGCTCCAGACAAGAGGAGCCACTTCGAAATAGTACAAGTTTGTGATAATGCTCAAGAAAAATAAGTGAAAAATGAAGATTTTAAACAATCCCAGGCTTACCAGAAAATAGGTAATTAAAGGACTCAAACGGTATTTCAACAAAGTTGGACCAATTCTGGGAGGTAAAAAGGAGCCACAAATGTAATATGTGACCTAGAAACAGACCAGGATGGGACAGTAGTGTAAGTTCACCATTTGTATTGCTGCAACTAAATAACTTTGTGTAAATTGTTTAAAATAAGGTACTTTGGTCAATAAGCAAGCAAGTATTCGTTAAACACCTATTATGTGCCAGACAAACAGAGTGCTCTCTGCTGAGGATACAAAGAAGAAAATGCAACAGTTCTGTTTTATACTGGAACAAATAAAAAATTTTAGTATTTTTGTAAATAATGTCATTACTTGTTATTAAGCATCCTCTTATGGGTTACCATGCAAAGCATATTGAATAGTAAAAATAATTTTCATAGTAAGACAGATGTTGACAGTCTTTACGTATATTCCAAGGGGAGACATTAAAAATCAAAACTATCTTGGCATATCTGCTCTTTTGGTCATGGTATTTTCCTATCTGTAGTACCTACCTTATTAGATTGTGATGAGGTTTAAATGAAATAATGTATGTAATGTGTTTTGAAAACTTCAAAGTATTATTTTCATGCCAGATATTATTAATTTATGTTAGTCACCTGTACTTTTTTCAGGTTTTATTACTTTAATTTGTGTTTTTCTGATTCTTAGTGATTTTGAAATTTTTTTCAGATGACTGTCGATAGTTTGCATTTTTTGTTTTGTAAACTGTTCATATCCTTTACTTATCTAATAGGGTGTCACAGTTGAAATTTAATAAAAAATTAAACTGAGGTAGATCTCTGAGCAAGATAACATTTATTAGTAGAGACATGCTACCTGTCAATAAATGGGTCCATGGCTTGCCTCCATTTATGCCAAAGATTTTGAGGAAAACAACAGTTCCCCTTTAATAGGGTTTTGGGGAGCACAGAACAAAGAACAGAACAGGGTGGATGACATCGTGGGATTAAGGGGTACGTGCTTGGTTATGGAGCTAAGGTTCAGGGAACGTCATGATTGGTTGGAAGTTTGGTAATGCGGGCTAGCAACGATTCCACTTCTTCTCTTATGAAACTTAGAAGGGCTTATTTTTTGAGTCCAGGTGCAAGATAGCAGCCCAGACTTTTGGACAACAAACCTGACATCCTTGAAGGGTAACTTGGTAGAGTAAAGATATCAGGCCTGACTCCCTTTCTTTCACACACATTCCTCAAGGTTAGCAAAATTCCTTGAGGCAAGAAGAGCTGGATTTTTAAAACTTAACCCATTATAGATCAGCTGAATTCTGCACTAAGTTCAAAGACAAAGAACCATGACTTAAAACAGTTACAGGACAAAATCTACTACTTGTAAATATGATTAATAAGAAGATTATACAGGATCAATCTTAATCTTCTCAAGAGAATGTCTCTTAATTTTAAAAATTGCTTTTTGTCCTTTGATATCACACTTTTTATCAGAGGTCTTTAATGCAAGTTTTTTTTTCTCCCAAACTATTTCTTTTTTTTCTTAATGCCTACATTCTATTTGTGTAAAAAGTTTCACATTCTGTATGATATAAAATGTTTGTATAATCTTCATGACTTATCTCTGTGAATTCCTTCTCATAATTATGAGAGATAACTTATTCTCTAGCTTTTTATGGTATGATTTTTACAATTTATGGTATTATTTTTATATTAACATCTTTTATTGATTTGGAATTTATTATGATACTGTTGTATTATCTGGTTCAAATCTTGCCAACTTTCCTAACAGTTTTTGCTGAATAGGACTTCTTTATTCTTAGGGTGAGGAGAGATGGGCAGCTTATTAAGTGTGAGACTACCACATGCATATTCTTCTAGATTTGCTTTGTACTGTATAAGTTCTGCTAATCTACTTTTTAGTTTTCAATCTAGTACCAGATGGTCTTGATCATTTGGGTGGGCTGTTCAGGACCTATAATTTCATATAATGACCAAAACTTGACCCAAAGAAGAGAAATGAGAAGGTATCCACCCTGATTTTTTTTGTAGAAGTGGGGGACTGTGGGTGTGGATGACATGTAATGTCAGATTTTTTTTTTTAATATATCATTTATTTTTTTCTGGACTATGTTTTTACCTCTTCTGTATTCTTTGTTATAAGGGATGGCTCTCTGGGATCAAGGAGGGAGAGAGATGTATTGGGAAATGTAGGTGAAGCAAAAGCAAAAGATAACCATAAAAATTTACCTAAAAAGTAAATATGAAGATGGCATTTATTGAGTCAGTCAATCATATCATCACATCAATACTTAACAGTAATTGATAAGACATTTGTCAGGTGAAAGCTTCTGTCAGTTGAATCAGTCTCATAGGTGTGAGCTAGATGGGAACAGTACTTGGACTTCTGTGTTCAGTTAAGGCATTTCACCTAGGTCTGACAAGAAGTCTGTTCAAATTGGTTTAAAGACTTGGTAATGCCCACTGGGGCTTGTATAAAACAAGAAGGTAGTTGAGATTCAAGGATTCAAGTGTCTGAATGCTTAGTGGCAGACACTTCTAGCATAGCCCCGGAGAAGGAATCCCTTTGGGAAGGAGAGTAAATGCCTGGGCCTTAGCTGCATCATCCATCTCCATCTTGCCTCCTCTCCCTCCTTCTACCTTGGAGCAACTTATGAATTTCTCAGGACCAGAGAACTTGGACTTAGTCATTGGTTTCCATTAGTTGTTGGTATTGGAGAAAGACTGGGTGTTTTGAGGAAAGATGAATTCAAGGCTCTTGAAGGAGCCCAGCAGAAATGTCATACCATACCTAAGGGAACATTTTTGCAGAGTTAAAGTACAGCTTAAACTCTCTAAATTTGAGCCCACATTCTCATGGGCTTCTTATATGTTTGTAGAACAATGTGTCACAGATTCGGGGTGGGAGTTGTGCGTGTAGATATTTTTACTAACTATTCTTTTGTCATTTTAATAAATACCCCTTTCTAAAAGCTAGTGATTTGGCTAATTAATATCAGTTGATAATCAGGGAAATAAGTATTTAGGAGGTCATGAGCCATAGCATTGGAAAGGACATCCCCTCTCCCTGTCCCCATCATCTCTTCATGGTTAACCTAAGAAACCCTGAGGGGAGATACAGCATTGCCCTGGGGACTTGACTCACCAGTGCCAGTGGAGGTTGGAAGGGTAGCTCCAAAGCATGAGCTATGTAAATATTGTTAGATCTTGGTTTTATATACATGCCTTTGATCATTTAGGGGGAAGATCCTTCGGTCATTTTGCTTTTTAGTGTTTTTAACATGAGTGCTTAATTTTGTTGAAAGCTTTTCTACCTCTCTTGATGAAATAATGTTTTTGTTTACATAATTAATAATGTTTGTTGTTTTCCTTATGTTAAACTGTATTCTCAGTAGAAATCCAAGTTGGTATCTGTCCTGTCTCTCTCTCTCTCTTATTTCTATCATTTCTTAGCTGACATTCTATTTATAATTTTTGCATCATTATTCGTTAGTGGCATTGATGTGTAGTTTTCCTTTCTCTGCTTTTTATTCCGTCTTGTTTTGCTATCAGGAGCATATTTATTTCAGGAGTTAGGTAGAGTGCCATCTTGTTTGATTTTTGAGAGCAATTTGTTGTTTATCAAAGAATCATTTGTTTTTTAAATGTTTACTAGAATTCACTTGAAATTTTTCTGGACCAGGAAGTGTTTTCTCCCCTCCTTTAGAAGTTTATTTATGGCTTATTCAATTTATGTTTCTGAAATTGGCTTTTTTAGATTGTATATTTTCTGCTTTGTTAATTTTTGTAGTACATTTTACAGAAATTAGCAAAAAATATTTAAATAGAATGTTAAATAGAATTTGCAAAGAAATAGACGTATGCATGTGTGTGTGTAGTCTAAGATTTCATCAGTAGAAAGTTGATTGGCAGGTTTTTGTAACATTCCTTTTTTTAAATAAAAATCTTTTCAATAATAAAAACCCATTTCCCCCCATTGAAAAATTAAAGAAAAACAAAAACTGGTTATAAATATAAACAGTCAAGGAAAACTTAACACATGGCCATGTTCAAGAATTTTTTTGTTTCGGTTTGCACCCTGATTCCTTTATTTGTCTGTTGTTAGGAGATGAGTAACATGCTTCATCATGGATCCTCTAGAATCATGGTTGATAATGCCTTGATCACAGTTCTTAAGCCTTTTAGAGAAAGTTTTTTTTTCCCTTTACATTGTTGTTGTTATTCAGTTCATACAAGTTTTCTATGTTTTTCCTGAAACCATCTCCTTTATCATTTTTTATAGCATTGTAGTATTCTATCATATTTATATGTGATAATTTCTTCATCCATTCCTAGCTGATAGAAATCACTTTAGCTTCCAGTCCTTTGCCATCACCACAAAAAAAAAGGAGCTATAAATATTTTTTGCACATAGAAGTCCTTTTCCGTTTTTTGGGGGTATAGACCTAGTAATATTATCAGTATCAATGGGTGTGCACAGTTAAATGATTTTTGAGGCACAGTTGCAACACATTTCTAAAATAGTCTTACTGGTCACTGTGATCAATGTGTCAGAGGCAAGACTTGAATACATGTTATAATGTTTTCAAGGACTGCTGCAAGCCACTATATCATGTTGCCTCCCTTTTTGTAGATGATTATCTATTCATTTACATTTTCATTTTTGTGTCGTAGGGTTAGGCATAGTAGCTTCTGATAATTTTCATTATTCTCCATTTTGATCCTTTGAATTTTACATTTCATTTTATTTTTAATTTCCTTAATTTGTTAATTTTTCTAGCTGTTTAAATTATATTCTCAATCTGTTCTTTTCCTTTTTATTAATATGATTGTTCAGATAAAAATTTTCCTGTAAAGACTTTTTACTGTGTAACATAAATTTTAAAGTTGTCTCGTTTTTCTTTTTAATATAATTTGTTTCTATGAAATTAGTTATTTAGGATGTTGCTGTTCTCCTTTTAGGTCTATATCTTTAGTTTCCTTTTTTGATAATAATTTTTTTATCCCCAGTGTTTAGTATATAGTACCTAGAATATAGTGCCAGGCATATAGTAAGTACTTAATAAATTTGTGGATTGTTCCTTTAAAAATTTGCTTAATATTGATGCCTTTCTGTGTTTATGAATTCTTTATGCCACATGTCCTGAACAGAGTACTGATAGTGTTAAGTATGGCTATTTGTTTTGGGAGAAATGGGTCTGTGCTTGGGTTTCGGAGACAGATCACATTGCTTTTTCACTGGTTTTTCCACATTCCTGGAATGCTGTCTTTCCTTACCTCTGCCTCTGGCTTACTTCACCATGCCTCAGCTAAAATCTTAATTTATTCAAAAAGTCCCCTTTAATTCCACTTGTCTTCCCTTCGAGATTACCTCCTATTTATAGAGTATTTATCTTATCTGTACATAGTTGATTTCATTTTGGGTACTCCATTAGAATGTGAGTTCCTTGAGGGCAGGGACAGTTTTTGCCAGTCTTTGTCTCTTCATTGCTTACTTATTATTAGCACAATGTCTTGTACCTATTAACCACTTAATAAATATTTGTTGACTTGACTGAGACATGCATAAACAATTGGGTTCAAACTTGTCTTCATTCTGATGTGGGCTTATACTCTCACAAATCAAGATAGGGCATTAGAAATTAGTCCAGCATGCAGTATTGTTATCCATCTGGCCCTATCATGTTATTGTCGTTGTCTTTGGGATTAGTGGTGGAAGGTAACAATAGCCTCCTTTCAGAGGTTGTGTCCCTCAGGCCCCACAAAGCAATAAATTAATGAATCTCTGATAATTGGACTTTTTATATTGGGAAGTAAAGTTGCTAGAGTTATCCCCATAGGAATTTTGTGGTGGAAGGCTTTTAGCATGATTAGTGGGGCCCTTGGAGTTGAGGTGTTTTTGAACATTTGTGGGCTAATGGTTGGATGGTTGTGGTTAGGTGATGATGCAGGCTATTAGTTTTTATTTCTTTACTTGGCAAGAAAGTGGCAGTTGCTCTTACTCAGAGACTTTGAAAATGAAGGAATGATTTAGTTTTACCGAGTCTATTTGGATATTATCATGCCATAATATGTAATCTCTTTTTGTACATCTATCATGTGCTGCTGAAAATATGTATCATCCTTAAGATTTTCATTTGGTAATCACTACAGGATCTATCAGTTTTAGTTTTTCCCACCTTCTGTCCAGATCAATAATTTCATCTTAATCTTTTTTTGATTTTGTTTTTTTGTTTAAAGTCACCTAAAATTGTTGCCTTATCATCTAAGTATTTTCTTATTTCAATCAGTCTTTCCTTTAGATATTCAGGTACTATATGGCATTTGGTAAATGTATGTGTAATATAATTTTTTGTCATCTAGCGTAAATTTAAGCATAATGTAGTTTTCTTTTTGTCTTTTCCCTGTATCTGTTTTTGCTGTTGCCTTTTCTGAAACAATTATTTTTATCTACTGCCTTTTTTATTTAGTAGAATCATAATGAACTTTATTTTAGCTTCCCATTTTTATTTTGAATGTGTCCATGGG